GACATCTCTACTACATGAAAAAAATTAGAAGTTTTTTTTCATTGCAGAGACGAGCATTCATTTTCTGTAATTGCACACTGGTTCAAATACAGTTGCACAATAAAAAGCAAATACGCTCCTCTGGTGTGATATGTAGAGGCTGAAAAACAAAAAAGACAAAACTATCATGATGTGTTTCATATGGGAAGATAATTTATAAAATATACATTCTGCTTCTAAAAATAGAATGAATTGATATGCAGAATGAATTGACCTTCAAATTAAAGGTCAGGGGTGACAAACCAGGACAAAGGTCATGCAGCTCATTTTCAAGCAATCAGTTTCTAGTTTTTTCATAGTTGAACAAAAGCTTAATTATACAGAAGAGTAAGGACTGTAATATTTAACTACTCAATTCTAAGAGAGAAACACATGTAGTTTTACACAATTCCCTGGTTCTTTTTGAATGTTTTTCTATTAGGGAATTGTTTGTGCTGTTACTAATGCATATATGAGTCTGTCTTAAATTAAAATATTTAAATAATTTTTTAAGTTAACATTTAATAATTCACCATCTGCTTTAGAGATAAGAGGGTTGTGTAGCCATTTTCTGCTTTTTCAGTGATTTTAGAAAAAAAAAAAAAATCCTGCTCATGCTATTGTTTTAATAAAGTTAGATTGCAGGTCCATTAATTTAGGCATTCATGCCCAAAATTATTGTGCATGATTTTTAGCAAACCACTTCCCCAAAATACTACTTCTAGTCTACAGCATTCTGTATGTCCATATGTCCAGTCAGACAGTCCTAATACATGACTGTTTAGCTAGTATGTGTATGTGATTATCCTTTTATTATAAGCACTAAGATTCAGTGTTCTAACAAATTGAAGGTATTGGTTCAGTGTTTATATCAATAATAATTTATTTAGGCTAAACTAAGCTTTCATAAATACTCTGAAGGTATTTAATAAATATTCCATAAGCTGACCATATATAGTAATGCAACACCTAAGGATAACTACTAGAAATTCAACTGTTAAAATTTGTACACTCACTAATAATTTTGTATCACATATTAGGTGGTTGCTTTTCTTACTGATACTTTATGCCCTGTACCTACTTCAGCTGCTGATATGTACATTGTTTTTAAAGTTTCAATCTCTTCTTTTAGAGATTGTGACTTTTTAGTTATATATCACTGATGTTCTTGTTTACTGCTTTGGGGTTTTTTTTTCTGGTTTGAATTAATGACCTATCTCTATTTAAGTTTATAAAAAGTGACCATTGCATTACTTTATTTGTTCAGTTGTTTTAAACAATGACTCATTCAGAAGCCATTGATGTACAGAACTGATGTCCACTTCACTTGAAATGGGAATGATGTGCCCTGTACTAGCTAGTTCTTCTAGGAAAGTGAATATTGTTGTTTAAAATACAGACACCCATCTGTTCTTTAACTTCTACAATGTTTGATTATTTTAATGGACAATATACATATCAGTACTTCATAAGCATGTTACAAAATACAAAGTACGATAAAATCCATCATTAGTAGTGCTCTCAAGTAATAATTCAGTGATTTTAAAAAATCAACAAAAATGAAGAAAGAAGATTCTGTGGTTTGTAAATAAATAGCTCATGCAAATAAGACAAAAGTTCTGTGTAAAGGAAAATATATGTGAAGGGTGTGTAAATTCCATCAAAACAAGTGTTAATGTAGAACATCTCAGAAAGGAGATCTGAAGAAACCATAAAAACATTGTTATAAAAAAAAATACTATTTTTTAAAAATAAAACTTGTAGTGCCATCTCTTTTGACAGGATGATATTAAAATCCTACTTGACTGCAGTATTTTTATAAACTAAGTGAAAGTTGTAAGTTATGCAAATAGTAAATTCAGTTTGACATAATATTCATTCTTACTTTGACCTTTAACCAGGTATTTTTTTCAGTACTTCATTTGGCATTGTTTTGTTTGCATATATTTATCAAGTGGGAAAATTAAATCTTACTCCCTATATGTAATTTCTCACAGAAATAAGTAAATAAATCAGTTATCAAGCTCTGGAAAATGTTACCTAAGTATGATTTGAGTATTAGGGCTTTTAAAGTTCTTTTCCTTACAAAGTGCTGATATGAAGTAATTTAGGAACTACAAAGAAAAATTAATCTGAAAACATACAATGAAGATCACAGGCTAGTTTTCTCATTGTTTCATTTGCTGTATAGCAAATCCATGTGTGGCAATTACAAATGTCCTTGCTAACAGTAAACTGGGAACAAAATACTTCAAATATGTAGGAAGTAGAACAGTAGTGACCCAATTTTAAATTGTGTTTGAAAAAGTTCATCTTAGAGTCACAAAATATTGTTTGAAACGTACCTGGTTTACATTGCTTTTTAATTAAATAATTATGGTCATTGTTTAGTATATGTATATTCAAATGCAGACCATAAGAAACTACAGATTTTACTAAATCAAATACACTACATATGAGAATTGTATACAAGTAATTTCAATCCTTTAAACAAAAATGACCTTGTTCAGCATATTCCTTTGTTATGTATTATTTATGTTTTAAACTAAAAAAAAGTGCGAAATAGTTTTTGTTGCTAAAACAATTGTCACTACAGTACTAGCATTTAATTTTGAGGAGAAATTCTGATGCTGGGGTTATCAGGCTTTCATTGGCTCCCATTCCAATATTGTGGAGTTCATTACCCTTTTTATTGCCCAGAAGAATTGTTTTCTTGACAATGATGGAATCACATTTTACCTTTCTTTGTTACGGTTCTCACTGAAGTCAAATGGCATTCTTACACATAATTAAAAGGTGTATAACTGGATGTTTGATCTTCAAAAACTTCATTTCCTAAAAACTGAGATATGAGTACTTAACCTCTTTTATATCAGGAAAAAAGCATATCTGGGCTATTGCCCAGCTGTGTTATTTACGTGAAGCTGTAGTTACCCTCCTTCAGATCAGTGACAAAAGTGAGTGAAATTAGCAAAGAAATACTAAGTTTTAATTTCCTAGTTGTTCAGTTAATTTTTTTAAATCTGCATTGTAAAAATATTTTTAAATATCTCACACATGCTTGCTTTCATCTTCACATGCTGGAAAAATGCTGTAGTGGTGTATAAACAGAAATATGGAAGAACAGCAAAGAAAATTAGGGTTAAATAAAGAATAAAATTGTGAGAGCTTTCAACTTTATCCATCCTGTAATTACATAAGGATATTAACACTTGAGTGTACCTTTTCAGGAAATGTTAATTTTTCTTATTTATGCATTTCAAAGTAACTATATCGAACTGAAGTAAATGAAAATGAAAAAAAAAGAAAAAGTTTAAACAATGAGAACATCTCGGGAGGAAATCCATTATTTCGAATTGTGAATTGAGGTATTTGTGTAAAACAAGTAAATTCAGAGTGTCAGACATTACTCATTTGTGATGCTTGAAATCAAAATACTGTGTGCATAATGCATAATCTATCAGCAGTCAAGAAAACAGTAAATAAGGTTAATTTTTACTGACTGGTTCAAGTGACAGCAAAGTTTGTTAATATATCTGACTGGTGTGTGTGTGTTTGTGTATATAGGTATATTTTAAAAGCTCATGTTTTATGCTCTTTCTATGCTTGAGTTTTGTCCACAGAGTTAAAATTTTGTGTATACTTTGCAGCATTCATCCACTTAAGTCTTCACTCCTGATGAGTTAACTAAAAGAAGAGCCTTTCAACACTGGAATATTTTCCCCTATTCCTTTGCATCACTATTTTCTTTGTTTGTTATAAAAATAAAGGATTGGTGGGTTTTGTTTTCTAGTTTTTCTACTCTCTAATCATACTTACAGTACCCAGCATTCTTCAAAAAAATATTGCTGGCATTACTCCGTAAGAAAGCAGTCCCCTGGCTACCACTGTGAAAGAAACAAGTTAAGCATATTAATTTTTCTTTTCAACTTACTTCTGGAGGAAAGGTATAGCTTACTTGAGTGAAGTAACTATTTATGTCTGCCTTACTTTCTTCCAAACAAATTATGTTTCTAAATCCTTTGGCAACAAACCTGCTTAAGGTAATAAATTCAAAACAATCCATATCTCAGAGAATTCCTTTTAAAAATATATAAACTTGCTATTATTTTTTACTGATTGATAAGTTGTCAAAAAATAGACTACATAAACTGTTAAGTCAGTTGAATTACAGAATGTGCTACTTGTAAGGAAAAGTGGATTACCTTTGTTGGGTGTCTGTCAGTGTGCCTACTGCACTTTTCATTGTATTTTTTATCTAGCAGTAATTCCAGATGTTGCTCTCTTGCATTATTTTTCATGCTTGCTGTTACAGTATCCTTTCACATGCTGTGAATGCTTAGTTAAAATAAGGATTGCTTTCAAAGCTAGTGACATTTTCTCTGAAAACATCTTGCTGTCTAGTACACAATTCCTCAACAACATTTATTTACTTACTTGCAGTTACAAAGTTCATGTAAATGCCAAGATAGTTTCAGAAGTAAAATACCAAAATACTTTTTTGGTTTGTACAGCATAAGCAGGCACAGGAGAGTTCACCATGAGCCATTTCGGAGCCCAAACCTGCTTCCATTTAAATCAAGAGATTTTGTATGTCTTTCAGTAGGATACAGTAAAACACATGCCATTTAAACTGTTTAAATGAGTTCATAGAATTGGAGTGCCCAGGCTCTTCTATAATAATACATCTCATGCCAAGCTTTAGGTATTAGGAAGCTTTTTGTAATAACTATAAAAAAATTAGATATCCATTTTTCTGCTCAATAATCTATTATGTGACCCTCTACATTATGTGATGCTTTAAAATGTGTTACAAAATGACAGTACTGGAAACAAGAAGAACTTGTGCTGCTTTCTGCTACAGTTTTTAAGAACTGTACTTTCCTCCTTTGAATCCCAACACCACTCCCCCAAACAGTTATTTTTAATCCCTTCATAAACTGAAGCAGGCTACGTTCCAAAGTCAAGAACGGATCCTTTACTCTATGCTTGCATATTTCATTATGTTGCATAAATAATGCAAGTAAATCTGAAAGACACAAAAGCCTCATAGCCACAGGTTGGCAGAACAAAGAAGCAGATAAAAGAGATAGGACTTCAGTGCTTGAAGGTGTAAAAGCAGAGTTAGGTTTAATCCTAGACAAAAGTCCATACAATTCCAGTGGAAAACTTAGTTACTACAAAAGAAGAGGAACTGAATCAGCTTGCCAGTGTTGTTGCACTGAAAAGAAAGATTGTACCACCCCCTTTACCAATTTCTGGCGTTGGAAAGGGAAAATAATTTAGAGAAAATTGGTTCTTGTTTGTCTTTGTTCATTTTTCTTCTGACTTTGCTCACTCCTAGTAGGATATCAAATTTTTTATTTTTTTTTTTTTTAGTAAGAGAGCAGGATAGCTGTCTAGATGTTCTCTTAAATTGGAAAAAAAGACAAAACTCGAATTTCTGTAAAACAGAACTGGGCTTATATCTAAACAGGTAGATACTGCAATTCCTTTTTTTCCTTTTGATGGGCATTAGTTAACGTAGATTATTCAAAAAGACAGTAGAGGGTGACAAGAGGACAGGCTTGTGGCAGGTGAGTTTGTGCATGCTCCTATCCATCCTTCATTTGTTAAGCAAACTGGACAACCTAAGTAACAAGAATACACCAAAACCAATATATTTTCCTTAATACTTCATGCCATCTGCAGCGGTTTTTTTCTGTGTGATATTTTTGTTGGCATTCTACAAAACAAGCCAGGCCTTTTTCAGCTAGAGCAAAAGTACATGTTTCATGAAGTTTCAGTCAATACACATCTGTATTTGTGTGACTGATGAATTTTGTTAAGATTGAGATGTAGAATTTAATATCACCATATATTATGCTCTGGCATAACTTAAACACTCAAAACTAAACAGTCATAACTAAAAGCATTTTTCTGTTGATATTCATAAGTTGTCATTAAGTTACTATTTTGATCATAAAAGAAACTTGGAGAATTATTTTTATCAGCTTTTCTTAAATCATACACAAGGTATGACTTGATTGTTTAATATGTACAATTTAAGCATAGTAAAAACAACTCACTAGTTCTTAGGTTACCTCCTGCAATTAAATATTGATAAAGGAAAAAACCACCTTCCAGTATTCTGCAAATCTGTGTATTTTCCCTCGGTTGTCATCAACTGTGTAGCTTTCATAAGAGACTAATGAAAGGGGCAATGCTTTTACTGGTGCTGTGGGGCAGGGAGAAAGCAGCACTTCATTTTTTTCTCTTGTGCTTTGGTTATCTCGTTGTTCTGATGAGCTAGGTAAGTCTCAAACAGTAGGTTTAGAGGTCACTTCATAGAGTCAGTGCCCTGGCATTTTACGGCCTCCTAATGAGCCGTTAAACTGGAGATGAGGTAATTAAATACGGTACTCTGGGACAGTGTACTCGGTACTGACTCCAGCTCTCTGATTTTAGGTTCCTCAGAAGACGATGAGGTCATTCAAGAAGGTCTCCTCAGGCTCAGGTCAGTCTTCTCTACAGCGTCTTACGTGGTTGTGTATCTGTAAAACTGAGGTACTTCAGCACTTCTGTCCCGCTGACTCATGAACGTGATCATGGGGTGGGATGGGGAAAGATCGCTAATTTTGTGCACAGGCTTCAGAGTTCCTGTTGGATGCAGTCTTGAGTGTTCTGCTTCTGTAAGAAAAATAAACAGTTACATAAGGAAAGTTTATTCACAATAACCCCATGTCACACACCTGTCGCAAAGGGTGGGAGCCCAGGGGTTTGTATGAGCGCTGCGGGACCGGGCGAACACTCCTCTATCACGAAAATTCATACTCGTGGAGTTATTTCCGTGCCGCTGTCACGCTACCGCCACGCACCTCCTCCGATCGCGACACCTCAGCAGTGCCGTCTGTCCAGTCCCCAAGCCCCCCAGTC